TATTTAATGTATAACATGTTCAGAGAATTATATTTTGAAAGATTAATTTTGGAATAGATAATTCTATGCTATGGCTGTATTTTAACCTAAGAGTTTGAACTTGTCCTGTTTTATCATGAATCARTGGCTACCTTCTTGAAGTGTTCAGCATTTTAACTTTGGTCACAAACCAGACATTTTTGTTTATCTTGGCATACAAATTTAGATTAATTTGAAGACTAAGAGAACCAAGAATGACTTTTTGAATAAAATCATAAAAATCAAACTGTACAGTATAGATACTGTGCTCATAATCCTAGAGGAGGTGTGGAAAAAGCAATGGAATATGTTTGAATGAAATTCAAAACAAAAGTACTTTGATGTTAGTAGATCTAATAATGTCATCCTTAAATTCTCTCATTGCCAAAGATATTGCTACCTTGGCACGTTTAATATAGCATTAAAGCCACTAGCTAGGTGTCATTTTTAACAACCATTTATATCATAGGAATAGTTTTCATCAGAAGAGTAAAAGTGCCCATTTTATTTCAGTTCCTTTAGGATAATTGCAGGACTAAAGTTGCAAAATATCATTCCTTTTCAGTCATAGTAAGCAAAGAAGCCAGATCCTCTGTACTTGTATTGCATTCTTGATTTACATAGATTTTTTCATTTATATTTTCTTCAGTATTTTAAATACTATTTGTTTCTAGCATATGGGCCTTAATCTCTGTTAATTATTTTTGGTTTTACCCCACTGCATTTGGATAAACTTTACTGTTGAAAGTTTTTCTGTTGGTGTTTCAGAGTAGTAAATCTTGACATGGGTATTGTGTTAGTGAATACATGGATCAGTCTGTCAAAATTTGTATGTCATGACCAGCTGAAGAGMCAAAATACTTGCCTGCCTCTTCCACAGTCGTGGAAGATGATGGTGAGCTTGGTTTGTTCCTRAAAGCAGTAAGTGGGTTTTGCAAGRCTGATRCRTAYAAGGTTTTCCATGCAGTCCTTAWGAAATTTTATTTAAAATAATCATGGAACAAGATTTTAAAACAACAGCCAACCATTTCAGATAAACTTGCCTAGTAAGTTGGTGAAGTGTCAAGGCCTGTGACATTAAAAGTTTAGAAGTTGTACAAGTCTTAAGGATAGCTTACAGCTTCAAGAAGAGACTTCAGCAAAAATCTGTCCCACGTTAATCATCCATATTTGAGAGTTAATGAAAAAAAAAATTACACTTTTTGCTTCCATCTTTTATTTATTTTTCTCTAGGCTATAGCTCTCCCTGAATTTTTTTTAAACTGTGTTCATAAGATTTTACCAAAGGTGGTATCTGAGGGACCAACTGAATTTAAAATGRTCCATAAATTATCCCTTCTATAATAAAGGATTACAAAGCTTTTCCTGTGAAGAGCTGTTGATGGGAACAGATGTATATAAAAACTTTGTATCTGTACAGTAAAACATTGCCCTACATTTTAGCTTGTGCAGGATGAGCAGAGTGATGAAATCAAGTTTTATTGACCAGCTACTTGGTTGTGAGCTCCCGTGTTTTACAGTCTGTAAGATTTAAGCAGTTATAGCAAAGGTTATCTTTGCATTCTCATACAAGGTTTTAAAGCAATTTAAATTTTGAGTCTTGAGAAGATTATTAATGACTCATAAAGTGTGGTTTAGAATTCACACAGGTTTTGGTTTAGAGAGTAAAATGGTCAGGGRTGATTAGTGTTTAGAAGTATCTGCTGGTAAAGTGTCTCTATGGTGCTTTGTCATGGAAACTTCCTTACAAATCGGTAGTGAATCCTATGTGTTTTGAGTCTCATCCTCCCCAGAACTGATCACAAAACAGAAAAAGTAGAGCAACCTTTTACCTTTAGTTCTCAAACAAGTACTTTCGAGTAACAGAAATACTGGCTATTGACACTGTTCTTTCTGTTCAGACAGTTACTGTTGTTGTGCTAGAATTTCATGTTATTAGTTTATGAAAAACACAAGTAGTAATAACTTTGTGGCTTCAAGTATACAGTAGATGTGAGTTAACAATCAACTCAGGATAAATCAACATGTCAAAGTATTAATAGATTCTTAGTACTGGGGTGTGTGGTGTGTGTGTGTGTTAGTGTGTCAGTGTTCAATGATTACTTTGAAATGAGACTTCTGTTTTCTTGCACATAGTGCATACTTTAGGGGTGGATACTACTAGCTGGTTATTTGTGGACAAATACCATATAATTAAATAAAACTGAGTCAATTAACACTTTTTTCATATTGAAGATTCCAGGAAAAAGCTAATAAAGATTTTTAATAATCAGCTACTCTTAATACATTTTGGATTTACTATGGTAGCTTTTATTTGCTATTAAAAGACCCCAGTAATTAAATTGATATATACCCCATGCTGCATTTTTTAAATTTGTAATTCCTGTACTTGACAATGAGTTTTTTGATCTGTTTTCGTCCTTGTGAGAATACAGGATTTGCTCTCTGTTTTACTAGCAAAAAGAAACATTCTGCAAGGGTTAAAAGATTATTTTCTTACTTTTTTCTGTCATACCAGGTTTGTTTCTCTGAACTAAGGTTTCTGAGGATTTTTACTACTTTAGCATTATGTAATCTCATAGAAGGAGCGTAAGCAGCATGTAGCCCACTTCTTGTGGACACACAGGCTAGGCAAAAGGACACAGATGGTGGTGTGAGCCCCTTTGCACCAGCATAGCCCTGCGTGCTGGTATGAGCCCCAGATGTTTGAGATTCGGTACTGGTGAAGGACTAAATCAAACAGGTTTTTAATAACTGTAACCTCTGCTGTATGATGTCCTTTAACWTGGGACCAGGGAAAGTCTTCATTCTTAGTCCTGAAGAAGGCRCGTATTGAAGATCATGTTATTGGTGCATGTAAGCCATTATCTTAACTGTCTTACTGAGCTGGTTCATGCTGTTGACTTGTTGAAATGTGAAATGTAGTTACTATTGACTTTGTAAATACCTGCCAGAGAAGAAATATAATTATTTTAAATCATTGTAAATAGAGATGTATAAAACTCTACACAGTCTGCAATGCAGAAAAAAAAATATATATATATAAATATATAAAGATGTTAAATAAATATCGTGCTGTTTCTGAACAGAAATGAATACTTTGTGAATTGCTGGCGTTTAGAAGTGTGATTCACGCCTGTGGGGGTGGGATGGGACGTGAGGGGAGTTGTGCTGGGGGAGGCGGGAACGAGAGGGGAGTTGTGCTCGGGGGAGGCAGGGGGGTTGTGCCGG